GCTTCCGGAGCCCAGCGCCCGCCCACCTCGATACGACCAACACAACGAGGCGGCAACGGCGTGAGCGTCCTGGTATGTCTGCCTTCGTTTGCGGCTGGCTGCATTGCGGGGAACCGTGCCGGGCACGACGTCCGGGTTGCGGCGACCTCGATGCGCCGCAGCACGTGGAGGTTCATTTTAACCAACGTGACATTCCTCGCCACACGCGCGCCTGCTTCCTGGCAAACACGGGCGATGGCGCGCTCCAATGGCAAGGCCCGCGAGGCAAGGACACCTGACGTGGCGCAAGCCGCTCGGTGATCCCCAAGCGCATCTCGTGCGCAGCGACTGGAGCAGTGGCTGGGGCCGAGCGGCAGCGGTTGGGCACGCTGGGATGCGCTGGAGCCACTGGTCATGCCCGTCGACTGAAGCGCAGCTGTAGCTGCACATACGCGTCGCTGCCGATCGGGGCCCCCAAAACAAGGAGGCCTTGCTGCCCTGGAGGAATCCCTTGCCCACACAGCGTCGCCCCCCTTCCTGTTGCATGTTGGCAACGTCCTGAGGCTCTTCGCCCCTCGCATTCCAAACGCGTGTTTTGCCAAAATTAAGTTCAGCCCGCGCATGTGCCCACAGGGCGGCGCGGTCGCTGTTATACAGCTCCCTCACCCGCTCCGGCGCGGCGACGATGTAAGTATCGCCGAGATACGCAAAGATGACCTCGCCTCGCCTTCACGCAATGCCGCCTGGGCCGGAGGCTGGGCAATTGCGTGCCGGGCTGGCATCAAGCGGCTCTGAATGTTCGCCACCCTCGCCTCATGACTTATCGCATTGCAGCCGACCCGCGCGCATACGCTCGAGGCGTGCATAGGGCAAGAGCGGTTGGAGGTCAGGGTGCGCATAGAGGGCACCGAGCATTGCTTGTCGAGACACATGAACGAAGGCAACCACTGGATCGACAGAGAAGATGGTGACGCATGGGTCGGCTTCGACGGCCGCGCGGAGGACGCGAGTCAGAGCCTCCGTGCGTGCTCTTGTACAGATCCCGTATTGGTGAGGGAGGCACGCCTGCTGAAACTCGGGGCAAAACCTTGGGCAAGCGTGCGGCCAACGAGTGGTCGGAAAACGTCCCCGACCACGAGGGCACGGACGCCCCCGCCGTTTGGTTTTTGCGAGGCCATCCGGCCAACACGCAACGCTGTCAATGATTGTGCGCAAGTGCTCGTTGGTGGCCCCAGACGGCCCCGCTGCTGCTCCACGTCGTGGCCGCGGTGAGGGGCGAGCTCTGGCGGCAAGGGCCCGTACGGGACAGCCGGACAGCGCTCCGGGTCCCTCAACACTTTGAATATGGCATCAGTCCCCGGTGCCAAGGGGGCGGCGACGAGAGCCCGGCTCGCCACTGAAAGCTTTCCGATATGAACAAAAACAGCTGCCCGAACAGCTCGGGCTTAAAGATCATCAGTGTCGATTCTCCGGCTGAGCAGCTGAAAGCCTTCCGAAATGAACAAGCCATTTTGGCTCAAGGTTTCAAGGCTCAAGCGTAGTCTGGTGGGGTAGTTCGTAGCTTAGGGCCTGGGAGGCCTTGGGTGGAACGAGTCACTTCGCGTTTGGGTGACTTGCACTTGGAGGCAGTGCGGGACCACGTCAAGGGCATCCTGGTGGTGTGGGAGTCGGCTGTTACTCAGGCGGGGGGGACAGTGCTTCCAGCAGAAGGCGCGCCTGCGGAGCGTCCCAGGGACGAGCCGCCGGCCAAGGCCTGCCTCGAGGCGAGGCTCCTCTTCAGAGTCCTCTTCCAAGCCTTCTGCCCACACGGCGCGCTCTCACTCCAGGCGCAGCCGGACACCCCGCAGGCCAGCGCCGCCAACACCACCCCCTGCGAGGAGCCGTCGGCCCAGGCCCGCGCCCGAAGCGGATCGCCGACGCAAGCCCACCGCGGCCACCGTGGGGGTGAACGTGTTCGCGAGCGTGCTGGTCCTAGCCCCTGCCTGCTGGCAACTCCCCTTGCGCTGCCGTCCGTCCAGGGCCTAACCCGTTCGGCGCCCCGCCCGGCCCTTCGCCTTTCAGAGAAGGGCCGTGCCTCTCGGCGTCGTTCTTCCTGGTGCAGCCGGTCCCTCAGGTTTTGCCTCCTTGGCTTCCCACACGGCGAGACCAACTGTGCGCACCCAGGAACAGGCGTGTGTGACGCGGTGGCCGCCGCTGGCGCCCCGTGGCAGCTGCGGCCCGCCCAGTCACAGCACACAGAGACTTGCAGCCTCACTTCGCACGCCGCAAGTTTTGCTTTCTCCTGCTCGTACTACTGAGGTCTGTTGCCCTCGCGTTTTTGACTGTGCTGATTTTTTGTTTCTTTCAAAATTCAGCTCGCCGGGTCTCCTGGCCGAAGGCTCAGACTGCGCTCCGTAGTGGAGAGGCCAGCACTGGCGAAACAGTGGCTAGATGCAAGAGCGACCCTGCGAGGCACAAAGCTGGGGGCTTGACGGAACAGCAATCAAAAAGGCTGCCACAAGAACGAGCGGCTGCCTGTGTGTGGCGCCCGAACCCGCAGTGGTCTGCAGTCGCTGACCGTGGATTTAGCCCTACTGATTGCAACTCTGAGGGCCGGACCGGATGACTGTGTAAGCGGTGGCCGAATCCAGCCGCAGCTGCCGTGGAGGCGCCAGCGGCCGGAAGATGGCTTCGGACCTTAGGGGAGTGTGATGCAGCAGACTGGCCGTACACTAGCGGTGACCAGATGGCCTCTGTGCAGGGGCAGTGTGGCTAGGCAACTTAAATGGGCACCTGCCTGTTTGCGGTGCACAAGCCCTCGGGTGTCCCAGCACCGAACCTAGCCCGGCTGTTGCAACCCTAGGCGGGACCCCCAGTGCTGCGCCCCCAGTCTGTTGCGTGACCCTCGCATTGTGAAAACCCGAAGCTCTTGTTCGTCGTTTGTGGAGGGGCTTCTCTCGTGCACTGTTGCTCTGCCCTAGGTGCCCACCGCGCCCAGTGTTACAGCAGCCAAGTCAAGCGAGGCCCTCAGCACAGCGCCACCAAACTGGTGCGTGCCTGCGTCCTCAAGCATCTCTCTTGTGCACTGCTGCTCGGCTCAGGTGCGCAGGCGCTGCTATCGGGCAGCCGCGCCCCGGCCTGACAACGGCACCGCAGCAGTAGCCTGACTGTCCAGGCAAGTTTTTTTTTTCCCGGACCTTTTTGCGTCTGCAGCATGTGTCTTGGTCGGCGGCTGCCTACCGCAGCGGCAATCGGCTGGGTCCCGACGACTGAGAACCTGGTCGAGCTCGGGGCCATGCTCCTGGCTGGCGCAAGGCGGCACCAACCACGTATTGCCCAATGCTGTGGCAGCAACGGCCTGCTGCACTGAGACTGCCAACTGGGACCACCACCTTCGCGACCAGGCGGCCCTGGC